CTCTCTCTAAAATAAATAATAATGAAATTAAAAATGTACTGTATTGTACACATATTTCAAAATTTATATAAATACAAAAATTACACATTAAACTCATTAGAGTGAAGAGGGGAAAGGATTGAGCTATAGGCTGTATTAATCTGCTCAGGCTGCCATAAGAGAATGCCACAATCTTAAATAGACATTTATTTTCTCATAGTTCTAGAGATTGGAAGTCCAAATTCAAGGTGCCAGCAGGGTTGGTTTCTGGCGAGGCCTCTCTCCAGAGGCTGTAGATTGCCGTCTTCTCACTGGTCCTTACATGGTCTTTCCTCTCTGCAGAGAGAGATCAGTGGTATCTCTTCTTATGACCCCAGACATACCAGATCAGGGCCCCACACTTATGACCTCATTTCACCTTGATTACCTCCTTAAAGGCCCTATCTCCAATACAGTCACGTTGGGGCTTGGGGTTCCCACACATGAATTTTTGAGAAACACAAGTCAGTCCATAACATGGGCTAAAAGGGACATAATAAAACCACAAGAAGTGGAGAAAGAAAATGGGCAGGATCCAGATCAAGCAGGCCCTTACAAGGCATAATAAGGAGACTAGCTTTTTTATTTTTAAAAAATATTTTTTCATTGATTTGAGAGAGAGAGAGAGAGAGAGAGAAATATCAATGATGGATCCAGCCAGCAGCCAGGCATATGCCTGGACTGGGAATCGAACCATGACCTCCTGGTTTTTAGGTCGACGCTCAACCACTGAGCCATGCTGGCTGGGCTAGCTTTTCTTTTTTTTAATGCTTGCTTTTTTTGTTGTTGTTGTTAATCCTCACCTGAGCATATTTTCCCATTGCTTTTTCAGAGAAAATAGAAGGGAAGGAGGGAAGGGGAGAGAGTGAAGCATAGATGTGAGAGAGACCATGGACTGACTACCTCCCCAACATGCCCTGTCCAGGGGGTGGGGAGCCCAAGTACGTGCCTACTCTTGACTGGGAATCAAACCTGCGGTCCTTCAGTGTGCAGGCCCGAATCTACAAAAACCCACTTTGCCACACTGGCCAGGGCAAGGAGACTAGCTTTAAAGGCTCAGAGAGGCCCTGGTCTGTGTGGCTTAGTTGGTTGAGCATCCTCCTGTGCGCTTAAAGGTTGTCGGAGGCCAAAAACCAGGTGACACAGGCTTTATTAGAGGAAAGACCTGCCGGGCTGTCTCGCAAAGGGAGAGCAGCAGCTCGTGCAGCGATAAGAACTCTTATTTAAGGAGAATGAGGAAGGCAGGAGGGCTTGGGGTACTTGGTGAGAGCTGGTTGGTTAGTCAGTGTATATGTCCATACAAGGTGTTCCTTCTGGGTTGGGGCCACATCACATTTACAGTAAGTCATCGCCATTCCAGGGACGGGTGGGTTTAGGAATCACATTCCAGGGAAAGGTGAGTCGATCAGGTTCAATTCCAGGTCAGGGCACATGCCTGGGTTACCGGTTTCTGGCTTGATAGGGGGAGAAAGGGTTGTGCAGGAGGCAATTGATCCATGTTTCACATGGATGTTTCTCTCTCTCTCTCTCCATTCCTCTCACTCTAAAAGTTTAAAAAAAAAATAAAACTCAAGAAAAAAATCTTTTAAAAAAAAAGGTTCAGAACCCTACCTGGTTTGGCTCAGTGGATAGAGCGTCGGCCTGCGGACTGAAGGGTCCCAGGTTCGATTCCGGTCAAGGGCATGTACCTTGTTTGCGGGCACATCCCCAGTGGGGGGTGTGACGGAGGCAGCTGATCGATGTTTCTCTCTCATCGATGTTTGCAACTCTCTATCCCTCTCCCTTCCTCCCTATAAAAAATCAATAAAATATATTTTTTAAAAAAAGGCTCAGAGAAGTCACTCAGTTCATAAATGCTAAGGTCAATTGATATATATAAATGATTGACTCCACACTTCATGTAATCTGAAACCATTGAGTCCTGATAAAGCGGAAATGCGTGTCTTTCATTTTCCATTAGGAAAACGGAGTGCAGAGAGGCCAAATGACTTGCCTAGGGCCGCATAGAAGAAGTTCTTTCTGAGTTTTATTGGCACTTCCTGTGTGCCAGTCCTTGTGTAAGACACGGAGGATATAGAAATTAGGGAAACATGGTCCCTGCCCTTAGAAAGCCCAGCCATGAATAGAAGAGACATCCAGGTAAGCAAATGTGGTCATGGGAGGGGCCTGTTACAGGTGCTGGGAAGTCCAGAGGAGGGAAAATGACTCTGCCTAGGGTAAGCTGATGAAGATTTCAGAGGAGGAAGAGCCCTTTTAATCAAATCCTTGAAGGATGAAGAGCTCACCTGATGCAAAAAAGGGAAAAGCTCGGTATGGGCAGAGTCAAGGATGTGGGCCCCGGAGAAGGGAGAGTGAGTAAAGGCGTGATGAAGCCAGATGGGGAAGGCTTTGCTGCCAGGTCAGAAATTGGACTTGGTTCTGAGCTCGCTGGGGAACCCTGGAAGAGTTTCAAGCAGGGGATGCCTTGGCCAGGATTCTAAGGACCGTCTCTCTGGCGGTTGTCCAATGTAGTCTTTTTAAGAATCCATTGCATTTAAAGAAAAAAAATCCATTGTAGGAGCTGGTGAGAAAAAATGACGGCCCCTCCCACCTCCAATCCTTTTATGGGTTTTATCACTTAGACCGAGGATTTTTTTTTTTTTAACCATCCCTGTCAAAGCCTTCATCTCACTGCTAGAGACACCAACCTGCTTCCTTCCTCTCCGCCTACACTGCACCTCCCACCAGGGTGATGCACCAGACAATGGGACTTGGAAGAAGGTGTGCAAAGGACAGAGGGGTTCAAGCTTCCCATAGGGATGATGGGCAAAGGGATCCAGATGGTGAGGACCCCAGGTGTTCTTGGTCTTGGCTTCCCCCACCTCTCGGGGCCAGTTAAGCATCTCAGCTTCCTACATTGCCCGCCCCCTTGTTTGCTGCACTCAACTTCCTGCCTCACCAGAGGAAGTGGGGAGAGACAGCAGGTACAGCAACAGCGACGGGGGTCATGGTGAGTCCTTATGCCTAAGAATCCAGGTCCCCAGGCCCCAACCGCCAGGGCAGCCAGGCCCAGGTCAACCTACAGTAGGCTGACTTCTAGCCCTTAAGATCAGGTTATACTGGGGGCCCTGTATGCAGCTCCCAGCAGCCTTATATTGTCTACACCCCACCAACAGGACAAGGAGTATGTGGGTTTCGCAGCCCTTCCCAACCAGCTGCACCGCAAGTCCATCAAGAAGGGGTTTGACTTCACACTCATGGTGGCAGGTCTGGGGGTTTTGGAGGCGGTGGGTCCTCCAGAGACCCTGGCTGTCCTCTGACCTGACCAACTGGGCCTGCCTGTCCACAGGGGAGTCAGGCCTGGGGAAATCCACCCTCATCAACAGCCTGTTTCTCACCAACCTCTATGAGGATCGGCAACTGCCAGAGGCCAGCGGTAAGACCCTCCCCATCCTCTCCAGGCCCTCTACCCCCTCCTATCTCCCCAGGCTACACTATCTTCCTTTCCATCTGCACTCCCATGACTTTCTGGGGGGCTCGGGCAGCTTACGGCTTCTTCCCCTAAAATAAATAGGTGGGGGCAATTGTGATACTGAGAAAGGAAACTAGTCCTGCCTCAGACCCCTACCCAGTTCCCTGATCTCTCCCCGTACCCATAGCTCGCTTGACACAAACGCTGACTATTGAGCGTCGGGGCGTGGAGATCGAGGAGGGGGGTATTAAGGTGAAGCTGACCTTGGTGGACACACCTGGCTTTGGGGACTCGGTGGATTGCTCAGACTGGTGAGGAGCGGGGGAGGGAATGAGGGATAGTCTCCCAATATGGCTGGCTACTTGGTGGAAACTGAGGGGTCAGTGACAGGGCTGGTCTGCCCTGGCCTCCCACCCACCCTGACTGAAAGGTGGGGGGCATTTCTGGTGGCTGTGTGTCCCAAAGTGCCCTGTGCTTCCCGACATCTCACTTATGACCCTGCCAGTTTCCTGATTTCTTTGGTTGGAGACAAAGAAACCCTTTCCCACCCCTACAGTCCTGGCTAGTCTTACCCCCTTCCCTGCCATGTGACTCCTGATCTCCCACCACATGCTCTCTCCCCTCCCGCATCCCAGCTGGCTGCCCGTGGTACGCTTCATTGAGGAGCAATTTGAGCAGTATCTGAGGGATGAGAGTGGCCTGAACCGGAAGAACATCCAGGATTCCCGTGTCCACTGCTGCCTCTACTTCATCTCACCCTTTGGCCGAGGGTCTGAGGGCCGCCCTGGGGGTTGGGCATTTGGGGAGGGCTTGGGAGGTGACTCCATATCCTGAGACCAAGCCCTGGCCAATCCTTGGGTGCAGGCTCCGGCCCCTAGATGTGGCCTTCCTCCGGGCGGTGCACGAGAAGGTCAACATCATCCCAGTCATTGGCAAAGCAGATGCCCTGATGCCCAGAGAAACCCAGGCTCTCAAGCAGAAGGTGGGTGTGGTGACTTTTGACCTTTGGCCCCACATGAAGCCAAAAATCATGATCAAACCTGAACTCAGCTTTTTTAAAAAATATATTTTATTGATTTTTTACAGAGAGGAAGGGAGAGGGATAGAGAGTTAGAAACATCGCTCTGAGAGAGAAACATCGATCAGCTGTCTCCTGCACACCTCCCACTGGGGATGTGCCCGCAACCAAGGCACATGCCCTTGACCAGAATCGAACCTGGGACCCTTCAGTCCACAGGCCGATGCTCTACCCACTGAGCCAAACCGGTTAGGGCCTGAACTCCTTGGACTCCTTTGATCTTGGGGTAGACTTCTTGGACATGGTGTGTAATGCTATTAGAGAGAGTTTCTGCGGAAGGTAGGTAGTGAGCTGCCTGAAAGAGCCGTGTCTCTGGAAGCTCAAAATGGAATCCCTGGGCTGGATGCCTAGCCTGTCTGAGGGTAGGAACACAGATGTGATGACCCCTGATGCCCCCCACCCTCCAGTGTCTTCAGAGCCCGCGCCCACTGTTTCTGCTTCTATGTCTTTCTGGGCATTTTGGAATCTGCCTCATCTTAGAATCTTTCCAGGACTCTGCCTTGGCTGTTAGGGTGTCTTTGTCCCAGTCTTTTCACCCTATAACTGTCCCTTTATCTCTGAGATTTTATGTTCATTTCTTTTATTTGTTTTTTGTTAATCCTCACACGAGGATATTTTTTCCATTGCTTTTTATTTTAATTTTTTTATTAAATTCAGTGTGATGCCCCTCCCTTGTGTGAGATTTGTGTTTTTTTAAAAAATATATATTTTTATTGATTTCAGAGAGGAAGGAAGAGGGAGAGATAGAAACATCAATGATGAGAGAGAATCACTGATTGGCTGCCTCCTGCAAGCCCCCCACTGGGGATTGAGCCCACAACCTGGACACATGCCCTTCACCGGAATCAAACCTGGGACCTTTCAGTTGGCAAGTCGACACTCTATCCACTGAGCCAAACTGGCTAGGGCTCCATTGATTTTTAAAGAGTGGGAGAAACAGGAAGAGAAAGAGAGAGAGAAAGACGGATGTGAGAGAGACACATCAATTGGTTGCTTCCCACACAGGGCTGGGGATTGAGCCTGCAACTGAGGTACGTGCCCTTGACCGGGACTGAACCTGGGACCCTTCAGTCTGAGGACCAGCACTCTATCCGCTGAGCCAAACTGGCTAGAGCTTTTTTCTTTGTTATTGATTTTAGAGAGAGACGGGAGAAGGAGAGGTACATTGACACGAGAAACATGACTTGCCTCCTCCACACACCCTGACCAGGACAGAACCTGAAACCTGGCATGTGCCCTGACCGGGAACCAAACCTTAACCTTTCGGTGCCCAGGATGATGCTCAACCAACTGAGCCACACAGCCCAGGGCTGCACTTTCTGTTCATTCCTCTCCATCTGTCTTTCCTGTCTGACCACCAGTGTCTGTATATGAGCCTGCTTATTTTTTTGAGGATATTTTTGAGGATATTTTTCCATTGACTTTTAGGGAGAGTGGGAGGAGGAGCGACAGAGAAACATTGATTGGTTGCCTCCTCCTCGTGCCCTAACCAGGGCCAGGGATCAAACCTGCAACCTAGGTAGGTGCCCTTGACTGGAATCCAACCCAGGACCATTCAGTCCACAGGCTGATGCTCTATCCACTGAGCCAAACCGGCCAGGGCCAGTGTCAGCATCTGAATCTGCCTGGGCCATGCGATGCGGGTTGTCCACAGCCTCTGTGATTCTCACTGTCTCTGCATCTGTTTGCTCTGAGATCCGGGACCAGCTGAAGGAGGAGGAAATCAACATCTACCAGTTCCCCGACTGTGACTCAGATGAGGATGAAGACTTCAAGAGGCAGGATGCTGAGATGAAGGTGCAGGGGCAAGGGAGGAAGGGGCCGAGAAGCAGGGGAGGCAGAGGTGGAGGTGGAAGCTGAGGAAGAAGCTTCTGCCCTTGAGGGGCCAGTGGCGATCCCTGATTCCCGCCCTCTAGGAAAGCATCCCTTTCGCAGTTGTCGGTTCATGCGAGGTAGTGAGGGACAAAGGCACCCGACCAGTGAGGGGACGCCGCTACTCCTGGGGTACCGTGGAGGGTGAGTAAGGCTGGGCGTGCATTCCGAGGCCAGCAGGGAGCCCAGGCCACCGCCAAGTCAACCGCACCCAACCTGTGATGGCGGGTGAGCTCTGATCTGGGAGGTCCTAGGACCAGATGAGAGATCTTTGAGCTGCAGAGGTGGACCCTCCCCTAGAGCAGGGTGGGATTTCGGGCAGACCTTACCCAGAGGGTGGGCCCCGACCGGCAGTTTCCTGATGCACACGGTCGGTCCCCCAGTGGAGAACCCACATCACTGCGATTTCCTGAACCTGCGACGGATGCTGGTGCAGACACATCTGCAGGACCTGAAGGAGGTGACACACGATCTGCTCTATGAGGGCTACCGGGCCCGCTGTCTACAGAGCCTGGCCCGGCCTGGGGCTCGCGATCGGGCCAGCCGCAGGTGAGAGCCGGAGTGGACTCACAGGTGCTCCATGATCTCGCCCTCACCACATCCATGACCCCGCCTTCACCATCCAGATCTTTTTCCCCAAGTCTTTCCCCACCAGCTAGCTTCCGGCCCTAACCTCAAGGACAAGAGCCCACCTCCTAGAGGCCAACCCCTTCCAGGCCCGGCCTCGGCGTCGTGACCCACACAACCACGTCCTGCCCTTGATTCCTATTCCTTTTCCTCCCCCTAGTAAGCTTTCCCGCCGGAGCACCACGGAGATCCCGCTGCCCATGCTGCCCCTGGCCGAGACGGAGAAGCTGATCCGCGAGAAAGACGAAGAGGTGAGCCCGCCCCCCGCCCCCCACTGACCAAAGCCCCAGTCCTCTTCGAAGAAGCCGCCCTCCGGCCACGCCCGGCCACGCCCAGCCCCACCGCCTGCGCTCTTGCCCCACAGCTGCGTCGCATGCAAGAGATGCTGGAGAAGATGCAGGCGCAGGTGCAGCAGAGCCAGGCGCAGGTGCAGCAGAGCCAGGCTCAGGGCGAGCAGCCGGCCGCTCTCTGAGGACCCCCCGCCGGTGCCGCTTTACATCCGCTCCGCCTTCGTCCGTCTCTTGTCCAATCCCGAGCCCCGGCGGCCCTGGCACTGGGCTCTGGGCCAACAGCTCTCCCAACCCCAGAGCTGGTGGTCCTGCTTTTGGCCCCGCCCCGCCCCTCCCAGAGCCGGGGCTTCCAGCCCAGCCCCTCTAAACCCCAACTAAGTGTCCTGCCCTGACCAGTGTGGCCCAGCTGCTTGACCGCTGTCCGGTGCACCGAAAGGTCACCGGTCGGACTCCGGTCAGGGCACAAGGCCAGATGCCGTCCCGGCCGGGGTGCGTTCGGGAGGCAACTGCAACCGATCGATGTTCCCTGTTTCTCTCTCGCATCGATGTTCCTCAAATAGATGTCATTTTCTCTCTAAGATCAATTAAAACATTAAAAAACAAAACTTA